GTCAGGAGGTCGCCTGCCCAATGTCTTCCCTCCCACCTGCTCTGATACTGAGAAAATTACAATAGATGAGAATGGTAGGCTGGGGCATACATGAGCCCACATCATGAGAATCATGTTTGGGAGTATTTGTGTTCTTGGTCTCATGTTCATGTTTCATGTGAAACCTCCCCCTCTGGAGAACTTCCCTAAAGCTATGCATTCCCTTCATTTCTAATTCCCTTGCATGAAAAAATCAGAAAAAAAAAAAGCTTTTTAGTGAATTGTTTCCACAAGTACGTCCTCTTACTAGGGTTATTATACCAACCAAAATGTTCTTACTGTAAGTATTTTTTTTTAAAATTTCAGTGTAATCTTTAAAAAAGAGACAGAGATGGGCTATGGTTTATTTGATTATCTGAAATGAGTTGGGGTGAGGGGTGCTAAGCCACCGTAAACTGAAAAGCAGCAGTTGAGGCTCTGGGTCTTGGATGAGAGGTAATAAATCTTATCCTATTTCCCAGTCTTCTCTGGGTTAGTCATTTCTCTCTCCCGTGCTATACCCTATTCTTACAGCAGTGTACTTGGTTCCATGAAGACCCCAAATAAATCTCTCCCCTCCCACAGAGCTCCTCCAGCATCCAGGCACCACACACAGCTCTAGACAGTAAGTAGGAGTGTGACAGAAACCACTGCAGCCTTACACGGGGGAGGGTGGAGACACACAGTGACCTCACTCTTCTCCCAGACACTAAGGAATCCTGAGTTTTGTCCTTGAAACCCTCTTTTCTTTTATTCAAGGGCACCAAACATCCAGCAGAGTACAGTGGCCCTAGGAAAACGTAGATCTAAATGTTTTCAAGGTCTCATTCATGCATACACAGGCAGCTCCCTAAGCCTCCTGTAATCTACCTTGTGGGCTTGAAGTCATGCTTTCTTGACAAAACTACCTTGGCTTTCCTTTCTCTGAAACATCTATCCCTAGCCCAGTGGACCCCAGGCCTTTTCACTCACAGGGACAAATAACTTTCCCAGAATGAGAAGGTTCTGTGATCTGTGAGAGTGGGTTCCAAAGCCCCAATCTGAGCCTCTCCTCAAGCCCTCACATACAGTAATAAACTGGATGGTGGATGAACCAAAGAGAGGAGAGAGACAGGATCTGCCCAGGCTAACACCTCTAAACGGCTAACTGACACCTAGTGAGGCCACCTGGCTACTTAGAATTCATCACTGCCAGTTACCCTCTTTAAGAGCAAGGCATTCTTTCTTCTGAGAACATTTAGCGAGTGTACTCTCAGAGTCTTCTCTGAAGATAAAGACAGCAATAAATCTCAGTAGTCAGGAATCTGACAATAGTTGGGAAGGGCTAGGTTTAATCATCTCTGAGCTCTTAGAGATAGATGCCTGACTCTTGTTAGCATGTTTTAGACTCCGGCTATCACTGAAACCGCTTATTCCACATCTCTGCTTTTAAAAGCCCCACTCCTCTAAGGGTTACTGATTATGCAGAGGCCTTGAACTTACACTTGAGACATGCTTACAATAATGTTCAGTCCTGCTGATGAAGCAGCAGCAAAAACAAACAGAAACAGATATAATTCTTGGTGAAGCATCAAGGAACCTCGCTCTTTCTCTTTTGCCCTTCCCTGAATTTGGCTTCCCGTTCTTCCATCTCCTAAAAGCCTAAGGATTGCTTGAGTGGAGTCAACAGGTGAAGCTAGCTAAAAGAAACAGAAGTTGAGCTCACTAGTGATAGCTTGCTGCTCTCCTTATGTCGGGCAATTCCAATTCTGAAGCAAAACTAGAAACAACCCCTCTGGGTGGCATATCTCTTCAGAAGACTGGAGACTGTGTTTTCCAGAGGGGGAAGGGCACAGAAGCTTTAACAGGCATTCTGTAGCCACCGGGAAATTGGTGTAAGCGCATGGAGGTGTCACTTATTTCTGAGTTTGCATGCTGCCCCCTTCTGGCTTCTACACCCAGGCTTGTCAGCACAGCAACCGCATTTATTTCAACCCCACACCTGTGGAGTACCTGGGACCACAGAAAAGAGTGTTGAAAATGTTCAAGGCATCTCATCACATGTATATCCTTGAGGCTAACCAGAGGAAACAGACTCATTTCCCCTCCGGCTCCTGGTTCTCATTGGAGGCTGCCCACCATCACAGAATCCCACTTCACATTCTTGCTGCGTGAAACATCTCCTTCTCCACCCTCGTAACTCCCACATGGCCCTGGGACTCATCTCTGCAAATTAATACCCCACCAAGGGCTGGTCCTGCTGGGCTGGACAGTCAAGGGCTGGACAGTCAAGGGGATTTTCCTACTAGACGTGGCGGCAATGGCAAATATGCCAAATTGGTGGGTTAGTGTTGCAATGAATGGTCTAAGGACCACGTCTTTTTTTTTTTTTTAGCCCGATATGTGAGCAGGTTTGGTTTTACACATTATTAAGTCCATGTGTATGATTCTTAGAGACAAGAGAGTCATGTGATAGGAGGAGACGCAGGTAATTGAAGAAGCAGATGCCACCATAGATCAAATTTATAATTACATGTCTTCCTCTTCTAAGCAATTCATCTTACATGCTGGTCCTTTGTGGGACTTGTCAGAAGCCCAATAGCGGGCACATTTTCTTGGGCTGAAATAATTCATTACGGGTCTTCTAACTGCTTAACAGGGTCTAACGCTAAGCCCTTGCCTGCCACCTGGCACCTATGTTGTCACAGCCCTGGAGCACAAACGTGGCTAGCCCAGGCTGCAGGGTGCCTGGGAGCCTGCAGTGTCTCCCAGTTCGCCCTTCACCCAGGCAGACCAGTCGTCTCACACCCGTCGAACCCAGGACTCAATCGGGATCCAGCACTGTTCTCTTGAATCAGAAGAGAGCTATGAGTTATTTTAAAACAGCTAGAGCTAGAGTTATTTTTAAATATTTAAATGCCTATGATTTGGTTAAATGAGGCTGTACATGGTGCGAGGAAACCTAGAGCTCTGGTTAGCTATTGTGAGACTTAGAAAGAATGAATATTGGACTACCTCTCTCCATAAAACTGGTAGCAGGAAACAGTAGATAATCAAAGCACTATGGGTACATATATATGCCTATAGTCCCCCCCCCTTTATCCATAAATATATTTGAAAAGCCACAAATGTATCAGACTATACAAAGAGAATGTGTTCAGATCCTCACTGAGTCAATACCAACACACCCAGTATGGCTTTAGAGTTCACCAGCGAGAAGAAATGAGCTAAAGAAGACAGACAACGGCTCCTAATACAACTGCCAGGCCTGTAGGCTGGCTCAGCTGTACCAATCTGACGACCTGAGTTTGAGCTCAGGATCCCACTGTGAAAGGACAGAAGTGATTGCCTAGAGTTTTCCTCCAATTTCCATATATGCACCCCATACACACACACACACACACACACACACAAACACACACACACACACACCAATACTCAGCACATCTACTGCTTGTCGTGACCTTAAAAAAAAATGCCCTGTGCGATCGTTCACTTTAGTCAAAGGGCAAACATGTGATATTTTCCTATATCCATGGTAGAGCTACGCACGCCATTCTTCTTAATGACGAAAGAACACATTCATCTGATTTAAAGAAAGTGGGTCATTTACATTCTCCATGGTGATATGCAAAGTAAGTAGCTTTCTTATAACTTCCTTATCTTGCTTGGCCAGGCACAAGATTTGGGATAAGGACAGTGCTGAAACTTAGGCGCCACCAAGGGACGAGCCAACTACGAACTGCCAATGAATGGATCAGCACTACTAGGAAATATTAGGAACGGGCTCGAAGAAGTGCCGGTTAGCTAAGTAAGGCACCTGGTTACCTGTACCTGCATGTCATCCTGAAGAGACCCCTACTCTGTATGTTCCCCACACCAAGAAAAGCACTTCTTACAGAAGATGGGGGCCAAGATCAGCCCTTGAGGACTGCCCCAAAGAGGACCAGCCCTTTATCAGAGTTACTCAGTCCCTTTGGCTTTTCCGGGAAGATGGAACTGATTAAGCAATGTTAATTTAATCATAAGTAATCAACATGGGAAAAAATTACATAACCAACTTCAAAATTGTGAATCAAAGATGGCAAAAACCCCAGGAAAATAGCTGTTTTGTCGTCTCCCCTGACCACACAAAATTTTCACCTCAAAAATAGACAGGGAGAAATCTATAAGTTTGACGATTAAATAAAACCGAACTATGAACCTACATTGCCTGGAAATGGTTATATTTAGTGTAAAGTTCTTCAATTCATATTTTTAACTATTCAGTCCAGGCTGGCCTGGAACTCACAATCCTCCTGCCTCCGTTTCTTGAGTGCTGGGGTCAAAGTGTATGTTTTTAACCAAAATTGAGAGAGTTTGGAACTCATTCCGTCGAGGGTTCTGAAAGACAAACTTGCTTTTAATTCATCAATAAAGGTATACAGGTAAGAATAATTCGAGTTTGTTTTATAATTGCTGCCTTGTTTCTTTCCTTTTCTCCTTCAGAGAGTCTAAAGGCACAGTGATAGCTCAACCGTGAGGCTATGTATCCATTTGGTCACATGCGTAAGAAATCAAGACCATGCCCAAGTCAGCTTTGGTTTCCTGATCAGAGGGAGCACATTAAAGTAGTAGGTAGGTGAACAATATGCAAAACCTGCTTCCTAAACTAGTCCATGATGCTTGACTTGCGATGGGTTACCGTCAATGTAATGAAAATCACCAAGGGGTACCCGCACGACAATTTGTAGGTACTGGTGTTATTTTACAAAGAAAGATCACGGTGGAGTTTAAAGGTCTCTGTTTTTCCACCTACGCAGAATCCAGTAGGTTAATCTACCTGGCGGTCACAGCCATGCACAAACAACGTGACTAACTACCCGGGAGAACTCAGGAGGGCTTTCACTCCGCGCTTCTCTGCGTACCAGCCCCACAGACAGACGTGAATCCACCTTAGTTGCCTCGGGAAGGCAGAAGACAGAAACCTGTGCGCGTCAGATCACTGGTGACAAGCCACTTACCTGCAATGACTGGATGGAAGCCTCCTCCTGGGGTCCCTTGTGCGTCTCCTTGTCGCTCTCCTCTGTGTGAATGACACGAACCACAGCGGGGCGTGCACAGGATCGCCTGGGGCGGCCGCAGCCTGGTTCCGCTGGAGACCCGGGAAGCAGCGCGGGTGTGTGCGGAGCAAGCTGAGCCTAGCAGAGCGCGCAGAGGGCGGAGCGCGTCCCGGCCGCGCCTGCAGATGTGGAAGGAGCTGGAGACAGCGCTGAGTCCTCTCGGCGCTGCGCTGCGTGGGGATATTATCACAGACTGGGATTTCTATTGGCTCGGAACACCAAACAAATCACACCAGCCACCCCCTCCTTCTCCGCTTCACTCAGCTCTTGCTTTTCTTCAAACCCACAAACATTGCAGCCACACACACACTTCAGTCGCTAGCCCTGTTTCTCCCTTCTCTTTTGCAGACTGGGGATTTACAACCTTGTGGGCAGCGCTTCACATTTTGTTTAGCAGACTTCCAATGCAAAGCTTATCATGTAGAGAAGAAATTCACCATTCTCTTGGCCCGCAAAACCCACTCATGCCTTCAGATCTCCCTTTTAGATGGACTCAAAATGTGAAAATGTGAAGAATGTAAAAACACACACACACACACACATTTGCAGGCACGTCTGCACGCACGCACAGGCGCACATAGAACCAGGCTCCTTTTGTTTTGAGTAATTGAGGCTGGAGAAATTAAAGGCAAGCTAAACCCCATGGTCAAAAGTGAGTTTAGCTAATAATAAAATTTTGAATTAATTCAGTGTAAAATATCCAACGTTTGGATTTGTTTTCTCTTCCACATACTGCATTAGTCATTATTATCCCCCCTTTCTTCCCTTTGTGAATGCAGACATCTCTCATAGGAACCAGACTCTTCAGCATCCAGAGAATGTAGACCGATTTTCGTATACTTGGGCTGGGCATGCGAGACCATGACACCGTGATGCTAACTGAACGTTGGCTTCTTTTCTGCAGGATTATTTGGTCTCCCTGATCTCTTCAGCAAAGAAATTCTCTGTGACTCTACTGACAAAGGTTCCTGGGTGAAAAATTCTCATCTGCGTATGTACACAGAAATAAACCTTTGTCCCCCCCCCCCCCCCCCCCGCCCCAACTGGGAAAAGGCCCCAGGGGAATCCTGGACCTTAGTTGCTGAGCTGGGAGAATTAAAATAAAATAAGGTTTTACTGTATTTTATAAAACACTGGCGAGTCTCCAATGGTCTTTCCTCCCCAGTAAGTTTCACTGATGCTCCTGGAAATTTGAATGACAGTTTTCTCGGCAGAAACCACGGAGCTCCGTTTTGATTTTTGACTTGACAGTTTCTTTCCCAGAATTGTTCACTTCTGTTTACCTTATTAAAACCTGACAGTCTTGCTTCAGCCAACTCAGAGCATAATCACTTCAGAATCATGGAAAGCAAGAAGTTTTTGAAATTTGTTACCAGCAAGCATCTTACCTGCTTTCTCTTCACCTTTGGACACATTTTAAGAATCCTGAACGGCGAGGCTATTTTTCAGAATGGGTCAACCTAGAGTCATCCAAGAATTGCCAGAGTTTTCAGGGGAAGAAAAAGAAAAACCAAGCACCTTGCTGAAGGCGAGAGCACGCATAACTGAAGATGAGGTGACCGCTCTCCCTTCTGTTATCTTGGAGTTACCAAACCAAAGGAAGCTAAAAGATGCTGACCACTGCCAACCCTTTGCCCAGAAAAGCTAAAATCATGGACTCAAACATCTAACTGATAGTCACTCTACCCATTATTATAGGACTGGTCATATATGCAAATAATTTACCAACCCCTCGTTTCTGAGTTGCCTTTCAGGATGAATACAAATAGGGATCACCCACAAGTAATGATAAAATAACAAGAGTAATAATAACTAATAAAGCAAGTTGTTTTATGTTGCTTATTATATTCAGGGATCATTATAGCTTTTCATATCACTAGAAGGACAGTGTCAGTGGAGTCATAAATAATGTAAAGGCACAGATAAGGTGACTATATGCTTAGAACTTGGAAGGCCAAGGCAGGAGGACCTTGAGTCCCAGGCTTGCCTGGGCTACATATCAAAACCTTGCTACTCTCTGTCCCAAACAAAAAACAAAAAAAGAAAAAAGAAAAAGAAATAAAAAAGAGAAGAAAGGAGGAAGGGACAGAGGAAGAGAGGGATTGAGGGAGGGATGATGGAAGGAAGGAAGGAAGGAAAATGCACAGAAAAATCTTCAATTTCCTTTCAGATAATATTTCAAGTTTCCCTTTCTTGCAGTTAATGAAGAGCAAAAGCCGATGATTTAAGGGATACTACTTACGCCTAATCAGTTATGCAATTAGTGAAAAATAAATCAGTATATATTCCTTACTCTGCTGATCATTTACTACTTTAAAGGACAGTTTTTCCCCTAAGATAATCCGCATATGCTACAGTTCATTAAGCCTCACTGGTTGTAAATGGCATGGACAGTAGCATAAATAAAACTCTTGCGTCTTGGTAGGAACAATAATGAGGAGGCTGCAGCGCAGGTTAAGGACCAAGCACTCCTATTTCATTTTCTGCTCTGCTTTGCTGTAACCCCTTCTATTTCCATATGCTATGCTATTAAAAAAAACAAAAAACAAAACAGGAGACCTTCAAGACTTGGCATGCATCCAAGAGAGCTGCCGATAAGAAAGTGATTATGTATGCTACAATTTATAAGGGATACTGCAGAGCTCGGGGGCGGTCCTGTCTTAGGGATAGGACTTGTGGCAAAGCAATTGCATGTTTTCAATTATTAAAAATGGGGGAACACACTTACAATCCGTGTAATGTTTTAAGTGTATTGTCATTTTTATCAATAGCTCCTTTAGGTGTGTGTGCATGCATATGTATGTTCACACTGGGGGTACAGAGGTGTGTGAATGAGTGTACATATGTGTGCATGCATATGTATGTTCACACTGGGGGTACAGAGGTGTGTGAATGAGTGTACATATGTGTGCATGTGCGCATGCATGCACATTAGAGTCCGCGTCTCACCCCACAGGCTAGGCAGGTGACACCCAGGGCTTCTCTCCCACTGTCATCTTCCACACTGGACACTGGGATAATTACAAGCCTGCACTACTTATCTGGCCTTCCTTTTTCTTTTTCTTTCTTTTTTTATTTACAAGGGTGCTGAAGATCAAATTTAGGTCTTTGAGCTTTCCCAGCAAGCACTATTGCCACTGAGCTGTCCTGAACTACATCCTGAGTCCATTCGTTAGTGTTTTCTTGTTTGAGTCTTTAGGGGCCTTATGTAAACCACAGGTAAACATTTGGACCTGACCTGGTCATGTTCATGGTAGGAAAAGATGGGGGAAATTTTAAATGGGCGCCAAGCCTTGTGTTCTTCTAAGGCGAAAAACAAACAAAAGCAATGGTAGACAACATTCACACAACTGAGAGGCTTCTTACAGTTAACGTTTTCAGCAGCCCTTTTAGAAAGGATGTTGTCTGGGGCAACTGGAGATTTTGATGTAAGTGACTGATGGGTCAGGAAAGGACTCAGCCATCTAGAGATTATGAAAGCATTGCTAGAAAGTCAGACAAGACAGCCTAAGGGTTATTTCAACCTGAAGGTATCTGTGATTCTATCATTGAACTTAAATATTACTAAGGAGTCTACTATTTCATTGAGTGATTTTCATATCAATAAATCTAAAAAGTTTACAACTTGTGATCTAAATAGATGTTGTCACGGGGTACAGATGATTATTGATGGCATTTTGCTCTTCTTAGGCAATATTTATGTGTTCTTTGAGGAACACACACACACACACACATATATATATACATATATATTATACATGTATGTAATTTATAACTCTGCTATACAAAAATAGTAAAGGGTCATGTGATCAGGAAATTGAAGATGGACTTCACATTGTTATTGTTAAACTTCACTTTTGGAGCTTGTCTGTTCCTGCTCAGCTATACACTAGATGTTTTCTTAATGATAAGGATAACCCCTTTTTATCTCTTTATTAATCAAAAACTTTCTTTTCATCTATACATTTCTTGATGCATCCATAAATGGTGGCTTTTATAGCTATAGATACCATCCTTAGATCATCATAGATGCTTAAGTCTAAAGTTGTTAAAATCCTTTCAGTATGGAAAGTTTTAAAATCTTAATTTACTGGTTAATAAGTGTTTATTCCTCCTTCAGATAGAAATCTTTATCTTATAGAATGTCATCAACATTTTTGTCGATGTTCTGTTTAGACCCAACTCTAAAGGAAATACTTATGATTCACTGATATATATGAAAAGAGTATACACACATATACATTATATATGTATATGATTTTCAACTGATAAATCTATAAAATAGAATTTATTGCTCTTGTGTCACAACATTCCTGCCCAAATGTGTACAAGTGATTTATAAGACTTTTCTAGGAAAAACTACAGCCCCTGCCGTGTTTCCGAATGAGCTCTTTGGCCTTGAGAGGACCATCTGTCATGTCTGTATCACCCCGGCAGAGCAGAGAGCACAGCTCACTGATGAGCTTGGAAAATTAAAAGGATAGGAAATGACCACATATTCAGCTGAAGCCCCCTATTCTCCCTTAAGACCCAGGGAGCAGGTGGCCATAGGTTCTTCTGACTCATTAGTACATGTTTATTAGAGGTCATCAAAGTCTTTGCATTTTATTCTTGGTTCTGAGATATGAACAGGAAGGGATGAAGTGGTTGAAATCAGAGCTGAAAGCCACCTTTGGCTTATTGTGCTGTTGTGTAAACAGTAAATTCATGCAATATAAATAAAATAAAATTTGAAAACTATGTCTATTTAGCAGAATCAAACTGCCCTCTGAATTAATATACCTCCACTCACGAATCAGTGCAGCTCTCAGACCCCATCAGAGGAGTTTCTCTGTTCAGCAAATGATGGTTAATGCAGACGCAACTGGTAAAAGCACAGAGTACAGATGTTAATGGAGCTCAGGCAGAATAGGACATCTGTACCAGATCCTCTCTTCAAGGCTCAGGAACCCTTGTAGAAGTGAAGGCTTAAAGATTGCAAGATCTGGAGGTTCGAGCAAGGGGACTGAGTGACACAGTGTATTCTGCACACAATAGAACTGTTTCGATCGCTAGCTCACAAGAGTTATAGTTGTCGAGATCCATCCAGAATTAAGCCATCAAGAGGCTAGCATGGAATGAGAAGA